TAGTAAAAAACAAATTTAAGAGGTAAAAAATGATCTACCGATTCCCTGGCGACATTTTCCACTGACGCCGAATTGGAAGATCCTGCAGACAGGGAAGCCACTGATCTGGCCTCGGTCATATTTTTCCCAGATGACGACGGATTTGCCGGAAATTCTCCATTTGATCCTCGTTCATTCGCTTCCATAATAATGATTTTTGATTTTTAGTTAATATAATTTTAATAAAATTTAAACAACTTCGATATTTTTTTTTATTTATGTGAAAATTAAAATTTAACTAAATTCACTTTTAAACTGTATTTATTAAATGGATTTTGGAGATGCTTCAATTTTTACAACGATCGAGACTTATTGGTCAGTTCCGACAACGTGAAACTGCGTTTTTTAATATATTTAGCAAAAATTGAATTTTTAATACATGTTAACATTTTTCAAGTTAGCAGAATTTTTAAATTTTGATAATATTGTAATTTTTCTGCTTAACTCAGTAGTATGTGGTCAAACTTATTTATATAGATTTAGATTAACTTTTAAGCTTTTGTATTTAATTTTGCTTTGCTACTCGTTTTCTTAACTTTTTATTTTTTAGCGATTTTGACGTGATTAGTGTGGTTTGGTCGTTCAGAATATAAACTTATAAATTTGAAAGTTGTGAGTGACGAAAAATGAAACGCAATAATGTCAAAAATGGAAATGGTGATGAATTTTTTGAATCTGATGATGATGATAACAATGGTGATTATGGCTGCAGTATTTTTACTAGCGATTCCGATTCTGATGACGACGACGATGAAAGCGGTGAACCACCAGTTAAAAGACGGAAAAATCTAGAAGAATCGTCCTCATCGTCAGAATCTTCAATAGATGATGACAGTGACTCAGGTTCTAGTTCTGCTGAATCAGAAACTTGCGCCATCTGTCTTGGAAAACTGAAGAACAATAAACCTGTTGCGACACCAGATGTCTGTGATCACACGTTCCATGTTAACTGTATCATAGAATGGTCTAAGGTAAATTTTGTAACTTATTAGTTATTAAGAATACACTGATAAAATATTTGTTATTAAAAGATTTTATTTATTATTAAAATATAATGTTTCATTTTTAAATTATTTTCCTCATTGACTAAAGTTTTTGTTCTTTTTTTTTAAAATTTCTTTAATAATTATAGCATGAATTTATGAGTTTTAACTTATTTTTTTCAGAATGTCAACACATGTCCAATTGATCGAATGGTTTTCAGTCTCATACTGGCTCGAGATAATTTGTTGGCCACTGAAGCTAATGGAATTCCTATCGAAAGACGTAGAGAGCATGACGGCGAGGACGACGACGAAGAGGAGATGGATGTGACAAGATGTCAGATCTGTCAGAGGAGCGATGGTGAAGACAGACTGCTGCTATGTGATGACTGTGATGATGGGTTTAAGACTTTTTTTTCTAATAAATTTAAATGATTTTATTATTTTATTAACTCGAAACTAAATTAAATTAATTTTTTAATTAATTAAATTATTTTGATGTCATTTGTTAATTCAATATTTTATTAGTTTCACATTTTATTAATTTTTCTGTTAGAAAGTCTTAACGGCTACACGTTCATCATAGTAACATTACCATTTTTATGGTAATAAAAATTTTCATATAGTGCTCATTATTCTCAATTTTAAATAATAATTCTTAATAATAATAAAATAATATTTCCATGAGCTATCATTTGGAATGTTTGACACCTCCTCTTACAAGAGTGCCGCGTGGTGATTGGTTCTGTCCAGAATGTGGTCAGTTCGTCATTTGGTTTGCATTGGAATTCATTTGTTTGTTCATTTAATTCAGTTTAATTTTTTTGTAAGATGACTTTTAATCATCATTTTTAAAACTGGAATATCAAACGTTAAAAATATATTTTCTTGAATAAACACTGAAATGACATCAGCTCAACCACAACAGCAACAACCAATAGCCACAACAACATCAACCACAACTACCACAACAACACAACATCCGCAACAGTTGTAAGACGAGAGAGCATGGCGGCAGCATCTGCAGACACGTCGAGGGCATCACGCATCATTGCTAGGACACTGGTCACTCGAAGAGTCCTTGGAGAACTGCAAAGGAATGGCTTACTGGCTCACTCAAGTGATGAAGATGACGAAGATGATGAGGGGGAGGAAGAAGAAGATGATGAGGATGAGGGGGAGGAAGAAGAAGATGATGAGGATGAAGATGATGATGAGGATGATGAGAACGAGGACGACGATGTTCTTCAGGATTTGTTCAATGATAACCTGTCTGATGACCATAATGACGTCAATGAGGATGAAGATGACGAAGATGCGAATGTCATTCTGCTAAAATTTCCCAAAGAACCCAAAACAACATCTGCGAGAAAAGGTAAAAGTAATCTAGCAGCACTAAAAACTGGTAGAAAGAAGACAAAGGGAACGAGCAATAGGAAAAGGAAGAAGACAGGGAAACGTAGGAAAAAGAAGAGTAGGAAGAGACAGAAGTTGCTGAGAGATGATGACGGCAACATTATCATTCAACCTTCGACTTCTACTAAAAAAAGCAAGAAGAAAAGTAAGAGGACCAAGAGAAAAACAAAAAAGAGGAAAGCAAAAAATGTCAGTCACCTAATAGCGGCCATCTTTTTTTTTGTGAAATTTCTTCTCCCATTTCAACTCATTGATAAGTTCATGTTATTTATTTGGCTGTATATTTGTTTATTCATTGTTTCAAGTTTAATTTTGTGTACTTTTTCAGTTTTCAAAACCATGACTTCGTTAGTACGACAACTTCAGTTTTATTTAATTTTTAAAATTGTTTCATTGAAACCCTATCATACCTTATGACAAATAACTCACCCACACTCACTCATATACTCTTATTAGATTGTTCACTTACATTCATTTACAATCATTCCAATTACAGAAAGCACCGTTACCTGTGATTGGCAGTCGTACAAGACTGGCCAGAAAATTGGGCATCGTGCCCCCATTGGCTGGCCACTTCCTGCCCCAAATGGTCAAGCCCTCCCCCTTGGAAAGGTTCAAGGCCAGCATGTGTCAGGGCATTGTCCCACATATCTTTGGATGTGATCCTGAATATCTGCCAACAGTGTTCGTAGTTTTTTTTTTAATGTTTTGCTATATAGATGCTAAATTTATGTTGGCGCTTGTCAAATGTTTGTGAGCGTGTATGTGTGCTTGTCCGCCTATGTGTGTGTTTATTGTTTGACAATAGTTTGTTTTTTTGTTTGTTTGTTTGTCTGTCTATGTCTGTCTGTCTTACAATGTGTCATAATTAAAAGAAAATAAGTAGCGGTAAATATTACAAAACAACAAGTAACAAGTAAATAATTGTAGTATTGATAGTTATATAGTAAGTAATTAACAAACCCATTGCTACGCTCATCCCTTATAAATCAAGTATTTATTGATCATTGTATTGTATCATGTTGTAGTGTATTGTAGTGTTGTAGTGCTGTGTATTGTATTGTATTGTTTTGTATAGTAATGTATTGTGTTGTATTGTATTGTGTTATATTTTATTGTATTGTATAGTAATGTATTGTATTGTATAGTAATGTATTGTGTTGTATTGTATTGTATTTTCATCACCAGGGACGATGACGACGACAGAAAGCGAATATTACCGTCAACGTCATCATCACTACAGCCACCACCACCACCAGCAGCAGCATCATCATCATCATCATCATCATCATTTGACCTACTGGGTGACATTTTGAAGAGTCAGTCAGTTCTGCACATGAGGCGTGGTGAAGTTACTATTCAGAGGGACGGTTTGGGGATTTTTTCATCATTATTATTGTTATTATTATTGTTGTTGTGGTTGCTGTTGTTGCTGTTGTTATGGTGGTTGTTATTGTTGTTGTTGTTTTTGTTTTTGTTAATGACGTCATTATTAATTATTATCATTATTATTATAGATGTTGCTATAATTATCATCATATAATATCTCCTAGAGGTGATTAACTCTGCTATAATCATGTACATATATAGATAATGATGGTGACGTTGAAATTGTTTTTTTTTGTCGTTAAAGGTTAAAAGGTTAAAAGGTCAATTACACTCTTCCAAAGTTCAGAGAATTCAGCAAAGCGCACAAACATCGCAAATGAATACGTGCTAAACGACGCAAGGCGGGGATCTTTTTGTCATATTCGAACCCGGTTACTGCGAAACAGCACCAGGCGACCTTAACCATTAGACTATCACGCCGTCGTTACTGCTTCTGCTGCTGCCTGATAATGATGATGATGATGTTAATGATGATGGAGTTAATGATGATGCTATAATGATGATGATTTTAATGAGTGTTTATGACAAATATTTTTTAAAAATTTTCACAAAGGTACCATAAAAGCATTAAAACCAGTTGTTGACCTGTTTGGGTTTGATAGATCTGTCACATCAACGTCATCATCATCGTCGTCGTCACCTGCTACTTTTTCCTCATCATGTTCATCATCATCATCTTCTTCATCTTCTTCATCATCATCTTCTTTATCATCATTTTCGTTATCATCATCATCTAAACCCAGCAAAGTATCATTCGCTAAACTTCCAATAGTGTCATCATATACATCGTCGTCGTCATCATTATCAGCAGCAGCAGCAGCTTCTTCAACAAAATCATTTTCAGCTTCAGAATCAGCATCATTTTCTCTACCATCATCATTTCCGTTGAAACCACCATCGTCATCATCATTATCATTCGCGTCAAATTTTGATGATAGGAAATGTTTTTCACTTTTTACTCACTATACTAGCATTGATAATAACAACAGTACCACTAATAATAAAAATAATAACTATAATAATAACAAAAGTAGTAGTAGTAGCAGCAGTAGTAGTAGCAGCAGTAGCAGTAGCAGTAGTAGTATTAGTAGTGGTGGTGAATATAAATTGATTAAAAAGGAAATGTTTAAGCAATCCAAATCATGCACTGAAACTCTCGTACATTCAACGACAACAACCCCTGCGACGACAAGTGCAACATGTGATAAGAGTTCATCTAAGCCTCAACATCTTCTGAAGCCACTGCAACCACAGCTACTACAAACGCGATCGCAACTTCAACAACCGCAACTTCAGCCACCAGGAATACAACCAGACCCATGGAAACGACTACAACTTCAAACGCCACAACCACCATCACTGCAATCGCCACAGCTACTGAAAAAAATTAAGCAAGAAAATGATGAACAACAACAACAAAACAACAAATTACAGCGACAGCAGCAACTACAACACAGAGGTTATAAACAAGAGATTGATGGTGAGCATAAGCAACAAGGTAAGCAACTTAAACAACAATATGAACATGTCGATGACGACAAACAACAACAACAACACAAATACAAACCTACAAGTAAACAAGATAATCACCATCATCATAGTCGTCTTAATCATCATCATGGTCTTCAAACTTTTAATGTTAAAAGTGAACCTAAATTTCAAAATACTGCCACTAATAATGCTACTATCTCCATGACTACTACTATTACTGCTACTACTACTACTGCTGCTGCTGCTAATGATAATAATAATAATAATAAAATTTCTGCTTTCTGTAGCAGCAGTATTGGTGGCACTAGTATTTTTAATAATATTATCAATAGCAGCAGCATAAATTGTGTTACTATCAACAATAACAATAACGAAAAAAGCAATAATAATAATAATAATAATAATAATAATAATAATAATAATAATAATCATAGCAATAAATTATATGACATTTTCGGTTGTGATGGTGACGATGATGAGGATGATGAAAACAAAATGGAAGTGACATATTCTGATGACTCTTTCGATGACAACACTAACAACAACAACAACAATAATAATAATAGCAATAATAATAATGATAATGACAAAGAAGTCTATATGGAAGTTGCCTATAGCGAAATGATGAAAGATTTATTCGGAGATGATGATGATGATGATGATGATACTTATACTGCAACTACTACTACTACTTTTACTACAACTAATACTAATACTAGTAGTAGTACTACTTATAATAATAAAAGTAATGATGAAAATAATGACGATATTAATAAAAATGAAAGTTCAAAAAATAAAACTAATACAAGGGATAGCACTGCAAAGGTTAATAATAATAATAATAATAATAGCAATAATAATAATAATAATAATAATAATTATTATTATTATTATAAAATAATATTAACAGTAATTATGATGGTAGTATAAACAATAATAAATACAATTAGAATTAAAATTGATAAATTTTAGATGAAAAGATTGCAGGAAGTTGAAGAGATGGTTAAAAATATCTTAAGGCCTCACTACATCGACAAACACATCACTAAAGAGGATTACAAACTCGTCATGAAGAAGGCCGTGCCCAAGGTTCTTTCCTAATTTTAGGACTTTTTAGATTTAGAGATTTATTATGATGTTGGTTTTTATATTACATTTTATATAAGGTATTCTGTACTGTTGAGTACCTCAAATTTGTATTTTGTTATGACTGATTCATTTAAATTTCAATAATATTAATTATTATTTAATTTTTATTTCCAGATCATGAACAGCAGATGCAGGCGTCTGGATGAAGTTAAAGTCTTTAACTTTGTCAGCGCCTACATCGTGACCGTTTTGGGCAAGAGGCATCTTGTCGCTTAACTTTTAGAGATGTCATTCTTATCAGAAGTTATTTTTTACTTAACAAATGAAAAAGAAATTTTCATTTAAAAAATTTTTTATCTCTTATACCTGGTTAACTTTTTTAAAAGTTTCGAAGAAATAATGTGATCACTAACAGCTTCTGAAAAAGAAAAATTCGTTATATTATTTTTGTGAGTTTTTCATCAGTTGCCTTTTCGTCCCGTGTGGAGTTTTATCAGCTCAAGATTTTATAAATTCTGTGATTTTATGCTTTAGTTACATTCAAAACTTCTAGTTGAGAGTATTATTTAAATAAATATTAACAATAAAAACGTTTTCAGAAGTTAAAAACTAATAAATATACCTGAAAATCGTTTTTTAACGGTTGATCCATGTCCAAAAGACCGAAATTGTAAAATCGAATGTTTAAATAATTTGTTCTAAGTCGTCGTTTATTGTTGGTTTTATTTTACTTGATGGTTTGCTTGGATAGCGGACATTTTCTACATGTTTCTAGGTGCCTGTAGGGGGAAATTAAACCTTCCACAAAATGTGATCAAACGTTTAAATATTTACTGTTGATTTTGATGCGGCATAAGTAGTTCTAAGTAAATATTTGATGATGTTAATTATAATTTGTGCTAATTCCATCGACAATAATGAAATAATTATGGTAGTGTTGGTTTAAATTTTATAGTTGATGTACAGAAAAAATTTCCGTACTAACTCGTAACATAATTTCGTGTGGTTGCATGAAGTGCATCCACATCTGTTGGAGCAGTGCAAGAAAGCTGTATGTGTAGAGAGTAGAGATCATTTAATTTTTAAATTTTTCATCTTTAGATTTTGAAAAAAACATTTCAAAAGTTTTACCAACAATACGAAAGAATAATTATAAATAATTTTAGTAAAACGAAATTCGGATCTGAAACTGACTTGGTCTGACGTATTTGTGACAAACTCTGGCATTAACCGGTCGGTCAAAAATGTGATCATTGTCGAATACAAACGGATATTTACAAATGCACAATGCATTCGCTTTCTGCACATCGTCGCAGTAATCGTAATCGGTTGGTCCTTCGACGGTTTCGTAGTTATACGGTTCCTCTTCGACTTCACACAAGTCACGTTTCCCGGCTTGGAGGTTCTTGTTCTTGATGTAGCAGATGTAGTCGGCGTCAAGCGTGTCGCAGATTTTCATGTGGGTGGCTAGTTTCATGGGTCTCCATGGGGTTAACTGCAAACATTTGTGAGTGCTTGGGAGTATTTGTGAGTATTCATACGTTCTTGTATATATGTGTGTGTGTGTGTTCGTGTGTGTGTGTGTGTGTTCGTGTTTTTATATGTATTTTTATATAAGCATGAATGTACGTGCATTCTTTTATTTTTCTTGAATGATCATCTGTTCTCGTCAGAAATGAAATAATTCATTTAAATAAAGATCAAACGACAATAATTTTTTAATGCACAAATAAATTTTAGACAAACCTAATCCAAAATAAGACTTTAAAAATATAAAATCCTCTCTTAACCGGTCTATCGGGAATATTAGGAGCCGGATTGATGGTAGGTTGTTCATCGTCTGTCGGACTGCAGCGGCAAAATGAACATCTGTCCCGTAGACGGAGGTCATTAAATCGCCAGTGTCCTGTTATAATGCTCTGCTGTTTCTGTGGCTCTATGCTGGCGATGATGTGATGGAGATGATGATGACGAAGATGACGAGGACGAGACTGATGATGTGAATGTGATCAGAATGATGTAAGGTTATGCTTGTCATAGTTATATGAATTATAATGTTAGCGTTAATGAACTGGGAATTTTTATATAATCAAGGTGGAGATGAAGTTGTATGATAAAAATCAGGTAGAATAATACTGACTGTACGGGTGAACATTTTAGTAAATGTTCTTCCATGGTTTCAATGAATTATCTCGCCCTCTCGCCTTCTTCCTCTCTATTTTTCTCTCTTTTTCTCTCGCCTTCTCCAGAGATTTAGTACCTCGCGTACCGTAAAATACCTAATGGGATGAATAAAAACTTGTCTACAAATACAAGTGGTGATACTTTTTTTGTATGTTAAAAATACCTTATCTAAATTGTAGGAGATTCACCGTAAGATAAAGGCAGCAGACAATAATAACTTGATGTCTCTTGAACTAATTTTTACGTACAAGGCAATAAATTAATCCGTTTTAGGTTTATTTATCACCCGATGCTATTAACAGAGTGTCATTAAGAAGGTACATATGCCGGCGATAAGATTGATAGCTAAATCATTTGTGGATGTGTAATGAGGAAGAGGATGCAGAGGGTGAGGAATGGGAAGAGGAAATGACAACTAAGTGGTTTTGTGTGTCTGTGTGTATGTCTTTTTGTGTGTATGTGTGTGCTTTTATGTGTGTGTGTGTGTGTTGTGTGTATTGGCTTTTTTGTGTTGTGGTGGGGTTGAGTGTTTTGGTGTGTTTGTTGTATAGATTAAACTGTAATTATTATTAACGAAATAAGATTGAATGATTACTATAAATTGATATGGCAATTAAAAAATAAAATTAACAAAAAGGATGAAAATTATTACCAACGAATGAGAAGTTTGTTTTGTTCTACTTTATTTTCATTCATTCTTAGGACGTGACGTAAGTCCGTCCGCTCGTTTTAGTCTCGCATTTTCTGAATATATTATTTAATACCGAAAAAATTTAAAAATTTAATGGGAATTTTTCAAGAAAAATAAGAAAAAAGACCAATAAATTATAAGATAGGAATATTTTTTAAAAGAAATTTCATCAACTCAGACGCCGAAAATTTAAAAAATGTCGATGGTTAGAGAAAGCAAGCATTGTAAAACCAGAAAAGAGAATAGAAAGGTAGAGAGGCAGAGAGAGAGAGAGAGAGAGAGAGAGACAGAGAGAGAGACAGAGAGAGACAGAGAGAGAGGAGAGAGAGAGACAGAGAGAGAGAGAGAGAGAGAGAGAGAGAGAGAGAGAGAGAGAGAGAGAGAAGTTATTTTTAAAAAGACGTGTGTGCGGTCGAAAGCGGGGGATTATTTAGATTGCTTTTTGTGTTGTTGAGAATGTACAATGGTAAAAAATTCATTAATTAGAATAAGGTTTATTCATTTGCAAAGAACCAATTTTGGTAGATTTTTTGATTGTTTTAATTACGTATTGTCATTGTATTAAAGCTGTGTGAATATTATATGAAGTACACACAATTATTTATTATGCATATGTATAATAGTGTATTTTGGGTAAATATATATATATATATATATATATTATATATATATATATGTGTGTGTGTTGTGTGTGTCTGTGTGTGTGTCCGTGTCTGGTTATATGTACGTGTGTATGTGTATGGTAAGAATATTCATTCGCTTTTACTTTTAAACGTGTGAACCACCTACCTTAATGATGAACGATAAACTAGATAGTGCGTATCTCAAGTATGTATGTTTATCATCATCGCCATCATCATCACCATCATAATCATTCTAATCATTATCATCATCTTAAACATTATCATCATCATCAATAACATCTTAAACATCATCATCACCACCGTCGTCATCATCTTTTCCTTCTTCTTTACACACATATAGCAGTTGTATAGCGAATAAAAATACAAATATAACTATTATATTGTATTATATTGTAAATAAATATTATATTGAAATATAATATTTATATATATATTTATATAATAAAAAAATATACATTTATAATTATTAATAATATTTCTGTTGTACTACATGTTCAGTGCATATAAGGTTATCGAACTTAAGTAACGGATGTGCGTAAGATCGTAAATGGATGAATGAATGAACGAACGATGGAATGAATGAAAGAATGAATGAATGAGTGAGTGAGTGAGTGAGTGAGTGAGTGAGTGAGTGAGTGAGTGAGTGAGTGAGTGAGTGAGTGAGTGAGTGAGTGAGTGAGTGAGTGAGTGAGTGAGTGAGTGAACAAACGAACGAATAAATGAACGAACGAACGAATGAAATAAAAAACTTTACTAACATTTGCGCATCATTATATCGTAATTTATATTCATCATATTTATTTGCATTACGGCATTAAATAAACAATAATTAACATAAACGTTGTTACACTAAACTCAAAACATTATGATTATACCTCATCGTAGCATGTGCGTGCGTGCCATACACACACACACACACACCATACACCACACACACACCACACACACACACACACCACACACACACACACACACACACACACACACACACATAGTACGTATATATATAAGCAAATGTTTTGAAAAAGCACTTACGGTTTGTGAAGAAAAATATCATTAGTTTCGAAAAAGTACAAAGCAAAAATAAAGAAAAAAATATTTCACTGGTTTTTTTTGAGTTAACAAAATATAATTAATGTTGAAGAACTCAAAGAAAGGGTTTAGTTGGCTATTGCTAAAAGATTTTCGCTATAAATGGATTAATTGTTCAATTAAATTAAATTTAAATTTAATTAAATTTAAATTTTAAGGAATTTAAATAATGAGATAACATTCTTTTAATACTTCATTAGGTGCAGAAATGAACTTTCAACACCAACAACAACACATCTTTCCATATTTGTACCAGTTCAACTACCGAAACTACAATCTAGATGATGACCAACAATTAATTCAACAAACACATCAACAACAACGCCGTCAAACACATCAACAACGACAACATCAACAAATACAACAATATCAATTCTCTCAACAACAACTACTACAACAACATCAACGGCAACCAGACAAATGCTTAACTAAAAACAAATTAACGTCAGCTATGTTGAACAATTTCGATTTCAACGCCTATGCCCCATCATCAAACAACAGTGACATCACTGACATCACTGACATCAACAACAACAACAACAACATGCGCAACAACGAAAGCTATAAAATCAGCAGCAACGACAACAACAGTCCAAACAAATTCATCATTCCAGAACTAGCAAACGAATTGGAAGAAATCTTTCGCACGCGATTATTCTCCTTCCCTCTGGACGACCACGAGTCGGCCCGCGAAGTTTTCCGCCACTTGTTGGACCGCGGTGTGCCGGAAGACGAACTCGCCTACGTCATTCAGTCCTCTACCAACTCCATGCTTCTCTGGCTGTGCAAGACAGGATTGAAGAAAATCATTGGTGAGTGGATTATCGTCTGGATGAATAAATGTTACGAGCAGTTTTTAGGGAGGGAGCAGAGGAGAACCGGAAGTTGGAGAAGCCAGGATCGAGATGGCGGGAATTTGTTGTTCGATTGTGAGTTTTGGTTGTGGTGCTGTTTTTTTTTTATGTTTTTTATTTGCTTTTTGTTGTTTAAAAATTTCTGTGTGATTATTTTTTTAGTGTAGTTTTTGTTTTGTTTGTTGTCTTGCAGTTTGTTATGTTACTTGTTTGTATTGGTTCACCGTTGTTCACACCTTTTTTTCTTTGCAAACCTTTTTTTTCTCATTGTTCATCAATTTTTTCACTAATTTCTGTTTTGCACTAAAATTAAAAATATAATAAGCGGATAAATTTTAAAAAACGCACTTGAAAACTGAAAACAAATCTTATACAAACTTAATTATCTTATCAGACCTCACCAAACACACACATGCACACGCAAACACATACACACACATACACGCACACGCATACAGAGAGACAAACAAATACACACATAAACGCAGATTGTGCTACAAAGAACAACATAAACAACGATCAAAATTTCGATGCTGACGATGATGATGGTTTAGTGGAATCATCAGTGAATAAATACATGATATACAACATCTATTCTAGCAACAACCACGACAACAATGACAACAACAACATCAACTACATTGACAAAAACATCAACAACAATACAAACATCAATAATGATAATAAAAATAATGACAACAATGATGATGAGAAACATGGTCGTAATGAGTCTATCATAAAGGGTATCAAAAATAAAAATAACAATACCAACAACAAAAACACCACCAACAACAACATTAACAATAACACCAACGACAACAATAAAAACACCGACATACACTCTTTTGAAAAGAACAAAATCAACAACAAATGTTTCACCCTTCGAAACCACAACAAAAACATCATCGCTAACAAAAAAATTGTAAAAGATAACATCAATACAAATAACAATAATGACATCAGTAGCTCAGATGACAGCAATTTTATCAAATACAACAACTCAAACAACGAATCAAACAGGAAGTTGATGCGAAACCACATTGCTAATATGTTGAAGAAAGGTATTGACAACATTTCAGTCAACAATAATAAAAATCGACAAGTGCACTCGCAACAACAACAACAGCATCATCAACAACAACAACAACAACAACAACATCATAATTATCAACAACAGCAACAACAACAACATCATAATCATCAACAACAGCAACATCTCCAATGTTCGGACAGCATCAACACTTTAAACCTAAAAAATTTAAGTCTGTATTGTCAGAACGTTCTCGAAAGTTTCAACAACAAAAACAACAGCGGAAACAACAACTACTACAACAACAACGACGACAGAATGTCGGAAAATGAATTAAAAATATCGGGAATGGATATAGTAAATGCATTGTTCGCCCGTTTGAACGCCGTTCAAATCGGGCCTCTAGACAAACAAACAAACAACCACAAAACAACCATGGAAGGTTCGGATGCAACATTGTTGCTAAAAAGTGCAACAAAAATGGCTAAGGAAACAACAACATCAACACCAATATCACCAACAACGTCATCCCCATCATCGCCAACAACAGCAACAATAGTATCGCCATCATATCACAACAACAACAACGACGACGACGACAATTCGCCAACAATTTCGGTAAAAAATTTTGGTAGAATATTCAAGAGATCTTTAAATAGATTGCAGACTCTACCGCGCTTATCCAAGTTCCGCTAAGATTAACGAAACGAAACGAAATAACGAAACGAAACGGAATAACGAAACGAAATAACGAAACCAAATGAAATAACTTTTTTCATTCAATCATTTGAATATACATGTTTTAAATTCTTGAAACATTTATAAAAGCGTACACATAAATTACAGGACGACATGCGTTCAGTAATGTTTTATAAATATTTTAATGTATATTTATATTATATAAATTTTTATTCATATGAATCTGTATTTTTATAAATATATATATATATATATATATGTTTATGTATACACACACACACAAAGGCACAAACAAACACATACACACACAAATACACATACACACACATAAAACTGTTTTTCATTGATAAAAATAAGGGTAAACGTGTTTTAAATAGCTGTAAATTTGTTTGTTGTATTTTTTGTATTAATCGTCTAAATGTTTAATGAAAATGAAAATTATTTTGAATAATAATAATAATAAATAATAATAACAATAATAATTAATATTATTATTTTATAATTATTAATAAAAATACAATATATACAAACTAGCAAAACAAGCCTTCAAAATAAATAGCTGTTATATTTTTTCTTCATAATAACAATCGACAGACACGTTTTAAACGGCAAAATAACATCTTTTTAAGATAACTGATAGAGAAAGAAAGAGAGAGAGAAAAAGGAGGGAAGAGAGAGACAGAGATTGAAAGAGAGAGAGAGAGGATAGATAGAAACAGAAAAAGAGGGAGAGAGACAGAATGAAATAGAAAGGGAGTGTAGAGATGGAGATAGATTGAGAAAAAGTGTGAGGTAGAAAGACAGAAAGAGGCATAGAAACCATGAAAAAAAGCGAAAAAAAGAAAGAGAGAGAAGAGAGAAAATGACAGATAGAGAGAGTAGATGCATCGAAACAGAAGAAAATGGGAAAACCCTTATTAGTTAAACTGCAACTTAGTGTATAACATTAACGTTGAGTGTGTTGTATGTAGCATGATGTAATGATGATGTTAAAACAGGGAGTGGTATTGAGATGATGAGATGAATATTTAAAAAAACGAACAATGTAATGATCAGTAAAAATGCCACACACACACACACACACACCACACACACACACATGTAGTGGCGAACAAACATCCAAATAGTTTCAACACGCTCATCTCAACATCAACAAAGATATTTTATTTGTGGTAGATCAGCGTTCAAACACTCACTTTTATCACCTTTCATTTCATAATAATCAGCTGCTTTTAAACAGCTGACCAAATTCACGGACGTACGTATCGCACCAAGGTGATAGAATCTCACTGGTTGTATAAACCATGCTTTCTTGAGCATGCCGAAAATATTTAATGAATTTTTTATTGCATTACTGGTGAGGTTCTAGCTAAGATTTTGTTTACTAATTTCAATATTTTTGGCTGCTAGTCGCAGGCCACAACTTTGCGAGTCACTGGTGGGATAGTTAAAGACGCCTAGTAAGTAGAACCTTAAAGTAGCTGGCTTGAAATGGTAAGAAAACCTCGCCTGTTATTCATCGTGTGTGTGTGGAAAAACATATATACATATGCACACACTCGCACATGCACGTGCGCATGTTTGGTTTGTATGTGTTTATTTGTGTGTTTGTCTGTATGCCTAAATGTATGCGTACGTTTTAGCATTGCATTCCAATCCTGTGCTATCGGTCAATTAGCCATATTTACGGTGCTGCTGAAAGTTAGCCAAATATTTCGCATTCTATCAGCTGATTATATTTTACGTGTGTGTGTGTGTTTGTTTGTATGTTTGTTTCTGTTTTTGCGAGCGTATATGTCTTTCTGGCTGTTTGCATTTGTTTGAAGATAGGTAATACTATACATGCTTATCAGTTCACATGTGTCTTTGCGTGGTTGTGTGTGTTCGTGTATCATGAAAATTTTTTACAATATCATTATCATCGCCAACATCATCATCATCATAATCACTATTAACATCATTATCATCATCTTCGTTACGTTTCAAAAGCCAATTGATGTAGAGAAAAAAAAATATATAAAACATAAGTGCCTATCTACCAGCCTATGCGTATCTACATTTAAAATAAACAACATCAAATGTTATCATTATCATCTTCATCACCATCTTCATCGTCGTCGTCTTCACCATCATCGTCTTCATTATCATCATCATCATCAACAGAAGCGGCATCATCATTATCATCGTCATCATCTTTATCATCATCATTAACAACCATCACAACCTTCTCTCCTTGACATAGTTTGTTATCTTTCTGCATTTCACTCGCATTGAAAGATAAAATGAGTAAAATATCTCATCGCCATCATCCTCATTATTATTATCATTATTGCTGTTGTTGTTATTATTATTACTATTTTTATCATTAAACAGTGAAATTTTTAGAATCAGATTTTCATCTATCCATCTTTAAAAACAAAAACACACCGAATCCCTTTTGAAATCTGAAATCATCATCGTTGTCGTCGTCGTCAGTAGCTGTTAGCAGTAGCTGAAGCAGTAGTACACGTAGCAAAGTAGTAGTGGTAGTAGTAGTAGCAACAGCAGTAGCAGTAGTAGTAGAAGTAGTAGTAATCAATCAATCATTAATAAATCAATCAATCATTCACTCAAAAAAATTTCATTTGTATAACAATTTATCTATCCATCAATCAATCCATTGTGTGTAGATAGTTTTTATTGTCATAACTTATAAAATATTGCAAACCACACGCACACATACACACACACAGACATGAGGCTCATATATCCTTTAAAATATACATTTGACTAAATAGCAATGCTAACAACAAGCATTGCTTATATCAACTTAAAAGCCAAACCACTTAGTAAACAGCTTGCAAGAGATAAAGTTTACACCACAAACACACACACACGCACGCACACACACACAGATACAAACATTCATGCATTTGAAAACTCACACAAACACACATCTTCCACACACAGAGGTAGGCATGCATACACAACACATAGATACCCATAAAAACACACACACATCAAACCCATAACTTTAACAAACACATATACAACCAGACGCACATATACAGGTAGGCCAGCAAATTAACACACAAACTTAATAATTACATAAATAACATTCGTTCTTGAACTGCAATTAAGAGCCCAGAGGTGCGATGTGCAAGAATTTTTCCTTAAATTCTTTCTTTGTTACCTTACTTTTGTACATAATTTGTGTTGGTTGGTTGTTGGTTTGTGTACATAATTTGTACAAAAACCAACTTAGCTTTATAAATCTCCATTCATTTCTCTCTCTCTCTTTCTTTCTCTCTTTTTCTGTCTCTCTCTCTTTCTTTTAATTACCTTTGTTTGTCTTCTTGTATTCTTATTTATCTTTGTCTCTTCCTTTTTATTCTTCAGTCTATTTTTTACGTCTCTCCCTCTCTCTCTCTTTCATTTCTATCTCTATTTTAGTCTTTCATTTTTTCATGTCTTTCACTTTTTTTTCCAATGAACCACTTGTAAAAAAAACATGATTTATTGTTAACGAAAGACTAGAAAACACGCTAACAGCATTAATGTAAGTATACAAAACATAATAACATCAACCACAACATTATAACATGAGAGACTAAATTACATCAAATAAACGTTGGCAGTAACAAGAATGACAACAAAAACAACATCAACAACAATATCAACAATAAAATCAGCATCAACAACATCTCAAACAACAACAACAGATAAATCAAGACAGTAAAAACCCAGGCGATCAGAGAACAAATTTTGTTCTAGCTACGTTCAATTTTATATTTCTAACAGCAAATAATTTAATTTTTTTAAATACATGTCAAAACTCTAAAAATTTTCACCCAGACACACAAACATACAGACACACACACAAACCCAGGCACACACATTCTTTACAAACAAAACAATAAAAAACTGGGTTACTGCAAAAACATCTGGAACATTCATTACGTAAGAACAAAAGAACCATCAAAACAAACAAACGAACGAACGGATTAAGAGACAAACAAACGAACGAACGATTGATGTTTTATTTAAAAACATGCACTATACCGTTGAAAGAATGCTTGTAGAAGATTTCGCCAAATTGATATGTGATGTTATTACGTAATCACGTGATGTTATAACAATATCACGTCAAGTTAAAATTTGTGGTGTCGCAATAATACGAACATGATAACAATAACGACATTGACAACGACGATGATGAAAACGTAAGCAAAGATAAAAAAAAACATTAAAAACAAAAAACAAAGAAAAAAAAGATCCCAGAGGTTAATCACGTGATGCTTCTAATAGCCTTTCTATAGAAGGGACCACCTGTATGACGGAAGCCACACCTGGAAACAATAATAATAGTAATAATAATAATAATCAATATCATCATCACCAACCTTCATCATCATCATCGGTGTCTCAATCAATCGTCATTAACATGAGCATCATCACCAAAGAAATCAAAACCATCATCTCCATAGATAATAAATATATATATATATATATATATGTGTGGAAAGAAAGAGGATAGATAGATGGATGGATGGATGGATGGATGGATGGATAGATAGATAGATAGATAGATAGATAGATAGATAGATAGATAGATAGATAGATAGATAGATAGATAGATAGATAGATAGATAGATAGATAAATACCCGCAGAAAAAAAATACAGAAATAAAAAAATATGAAACGCCAAATTAACTAAAATTTGAAAAAAAATTTAAAAAGATTTTTTGCGAAAAAAGGAAAGAAAATGGAGAAGTTGGAGTTAAAAGCAGGTGCACTCAATACTAATTAACTTTGCCAATGGAATTATAACAATGTACACAATTATGTAGACACACACACACAAGTACACATATATACACACACGCATGCACCCACACACAGACACACACACACACACACACACACACACACACACACACACACACACACACACACACACACACACACACACACACACACGTATACATATCAACACACGCATGATCACACGTGCACACACACACAAGCATACATACACATCATCCATCCATATATTTACATTTACATAGGCAACCACAAACATTCTTACATACAGAACACACACAAACAAACAAACAAAAACAAACAAAAACACACAAACAAACGTATACACACACACACAAACAGTAAGTAATTAGTCAAAAAAATTCCTCACTGTAGTTCAACAAACTTAAAGCTGACAGATAAGATCATTGGATGCCGTGAGTTTAAAAAACATCTCGTACGGTGTAGGTAGGGAAACGATAATGATAACAAAACTTCAAAACGGCATCATAAAAATACAAAAAAAAACACCGGCAACAAATTCACAACAAAACATCAACAACAACTGAACCGACCCAACAACTGCATAATTATCTGCATGGTCTCATGAAATACTGAACAGAATTCCTCTTGCTCTCCTAATCTCTGCAACAATCTGTCAGTGGATGAATGGATGGATGGATGAATGAATGAATGAATGAATGAATGAATGAACGAATGAATGAATGGATGACTGAGACTGAATGATGGATAGCTTAATTATGACAGCACAAATCGCATTAACAAAAATACATCAACCAAAACATAAACAAAAAAAGATACTTTTCTTTCTCCTCATCAAAAGCTTCTCTACTTTTCTGCGCTTGCAGTTGAACCTGGTGATGTTGTTCCGTCGTCTTAACGTTCATCTCGACCAGCTTGTTGACCACGTCAATTACTACTCGAGAGTTACTTGACTTATCTACAAGTATCAAACATTCCAGAGGATTACTGTAGTAGTAATGTTTGCAGTAATGCTATACCAGTACAAGTAGCATCAACTAATCAACTAAATAACTAACTAACTAACTAATCACTCAACCAACCAACCAACCGACCAGCCAACCAACCACTAACCTAACCCAAGAACATCTTTAATATTGTTCATGACGTTGTAGTTTTCGTTAAGCCTTCTGTAGAGATGGCTCATGCGTGTGTACATGCCTGACACCTGTCGAGTAGCAAGGTACGAAGCACAAATTTAACGATTCCAACAATTCTTAACGATATATCTTAAACTTATATCAATCAATCGATCAATCAATCAGTTAACTAATCGATCATTCAATTAACTAATCTACCAATTAACCGACCTGAGGAACTTCAAAGAGAATTTGAAACTGTCTAACGATGCCAACCAGCTCATCCTTGCTTGCTGCTGATGCGTCCAAGACCTGACAACAACAAATGTCAATCAAGTCAAACTATTTAAATTGACAGCCATTCTAAGGATAACCAATGAGAATTAATAATTTCAAACCGACCATCAAAAGACAGCCAATCAAAAGCCAGCCAATCAAAATTTAATTTAATTATTGGCAAACAACCAATAATTAAAATCACCAAATTAGAACCAGACAATCGAAAACCAGCCAATTCAAAACCATCCATTAACAAAACCAGCCAATCAAAATCTTTCATTAAAAACCAGCCAATAATTAAAATCACCCAATTAGAACCAGACACTGGAAAACCGGTCAATTCAAAGCCAAGCCAGCCAATCGAAATCACCCACTCAGAAAATTGACCAATCAGAAACGACCGGCAACGACAGACCCTGTTGTGACAGCCATCAGCAACAAGCTCATCGACCATGTTAACCAATTCCAATGTGCCACAAACTCGGTCGTCATCGTCGTCACCACTGATTGGTCGCCATGGAAACATCTTTTCAGATAAATTTTTTATAGACCCCTGGAGATTCTGAAATCAATAAATCAATCAAAATAAAATAATGCCATATAAATATATAAAGATGAATATATAAAGTTGAGTAGATTGTGGGTATCATCATCATCATCATCGTCACATCATCATTATCTTCATCGGAATCATCATAATTATAACTTTTATGGTAGTAATTAACTTTCTTTATGATTATTCACCCGATAAATGTTTCTTCTTCTTCATCATCATCATCGCAATCATTCACCACACTATTGTAACCACAATCATCGTCATCTTCATCAACTCACTTTCAGATGTTTGATCTGGTTAACCCAATGTTCTAGCGTTAATAGAAGGCAGTGTCTATCAGTGCAGACAGCATAGTTATTGTTATTAGTGCTATTATTATTGTTGTTGTTGTTTTTGTTGTTGTTGTTGATGTTACATGCGCAGTTTTTGTTGCGTGGTCTGGGCAGGTTGTATCTCGAAGTCATCTGGTGCACGTCTCTAACAAACTTTACGAAAAGTTTGGGTTAATTTGGTTATTTGTGGAATTAATTTTTGACTTGTCGATTGACTGATTAATTGATCAACTAATTGATTGATTGATTGATCGATTGATTGATTGACGAGTTTTTTATTTCAAACCTATTATAAAATCGACAACCTAATTAACTATGCAATCAACTAGATAAACTATATATATTCATCAACCAACCAACCATCAAATCTGACAACTAACTAACCAACAAACTAATAAATCAACTCGACGAACTATCTATTCGTCAATCAACCAACCAACCAACCAACCAACCAACCAACCAACAAACATACCAACCGACAAACCAACCAGCCAGCCAGCCACCCAACCAACCAGCCAACCAACCAACCAACCGACCAACCAACCAACCAACCAACCAACCAACCAACCGACCAACCGAATCTAGCTGATTGAATGTTGATGAATTTTTATTCAACTTCAAGATAGCCGGTTCTATATCAAGCAGGTCGCACACACCAAGCAGAGAACACGTCAACTAAAAATAACAACAACAACAATAATAATAAAAATAACAAAAACAGCAACAATAATAATAATAACAATAATAACCTCCAGTATAATTAATGAATAATATTTGAGAATCGACGAATGGTTTGAAATTAACTTTACTCAGATTCAATGAAAGACATAGAGGTTAAAGGTTATATAAGTTGAAGTTATAGAGATGAAAAAAGAAACAAATCAAATAAAGAGAAAAAAGACCAGGGGGGGAGGGTAAAAAGGAGAGAGAGATAGAGAGATAAAGACAGAGACAGAGAGAGAAAAAGAGGAAAATAAGACGGGTAGAGGAAAATGAATGTGAACCTCGAGAAATTTGTGACACAACGAGGCAGGTTGCCTCTTCAAGTCGGTCAACCTCGTACTCAGCAGATGATGAGGATGATGCAGTTGGGGAGGTGATAATGACGATAGCGATGATGAAGATGACGACGGTATTCTTTGTTGATACTGCTGCTGCTGATACCTCGATGATACCAAGGATAGCGTCGACGATGACGAGCAAATGGGCTTGTTCTCCGCACTGGCAACATTGGTGACAGTGATACGATACTGATGATAGAAGTGATGACGACATTGATGACGTCAATTACTTATATAATGATACATGATTACTGACATGATGACGACGACGTCAATTAGTAACACGATGATGTCGTCATTAGGCGACCACAACAAAGTACAACAACAAAAACAACAACTACTACTAAAACAAAAACAAACTACAACAACTCAACAACAAAAACAACATCTACTACTACTACAACAAGAAACCACAACAACTCAACAACTAAAACGACAACTACTACAACAACAACAACAACAAAGTACTTTGATAACTTTCTTCTCACATCTTTCTCCATCAATTTATTCTTCAGAATCACCTCCCTGATGACGATGGAGTAATAATAATAATAATAATAATAATAAAATAATAATAATAAAAACAACAGTAATAATAATAAAACAATCATGATAATGAGAGTAAAACTTTGTGTGTAGGTCTGTCTTTAGAGATTCAATTTCATTTTTGAGGTCCTTATTTCTCTTCAAATACTCCTGTATCTTTCTTTCATAAGACTGTTTGCAATAAAATTATGAAATTATCATTACAAATATCCTCACCGTCATCATCATCATCATTATCATCACCATCATCATCATTACCACCACCATCATCATCGTCATCACCACCCCTCCCATCATCATCATCACCATCACCACCATCAAACCATCATTATCATCACCATCCCCCCCATCAAACCATCATCCTCATCATTATCATCACCACAACCACCATCATCATCATTATCATCACCATCATCATCATTACCACCACCATCATCATCGTCATCACCACCCTCATCACCCCATCATTATCATCAGCACCACCATCATCATCATCACCATCAGCACCACCACCATCAAACCATCATCCTTATCATTATCATCACCACCACCACCATCATTACCATGACTAACCCTAATAAGCTCTCTAACGTTTGTGGTATGCTCGTTAATGGATACGTGATATATATCAAATGTATCCTTCTTGATAATATCCCTCTTCAGCTGCCTCATCTGACGCTCGTAGTCATCTATAACTGTCAGCAATCTATCATGAAAAATTTATTAACTTCTGCTGGCAGCCTAGCATTTATTATATAATAATGATGATAATAATAATAATAGTAATAATAATGATAATGGTAATGGTAATAATAGTAAAATAATAATGATAATTAAAAATAAAAAAGACTTACTCGTCATCGAATCTAATCTTTCCAGGTCTACCTTTAAATTTTTCATACAACTCTTTGGCTTTTGCTTCTTTTTTGACATCCTTAAATTTATTCATTCATTTGTTCATTCACCATTCATAACTTTTTTCAACAACCATCCATTCGTTTATTTGTTCATCCATTTATTCATTTACTCACTTATTCATTCATTCATTAAATCGTTCATAAATCTAAATTATAATTTAATTACGAATACCTATGCTGAATATTAGCAGTGAAGAATGAAACTGTACATCGTAGCCATCACCATCACAATCACCATCATAATCACCACCATCATAATCACCACCATCATAATCATCACCACAAAATCATCATCATCGTCCTCAATCACATCATCATCGTCGTCATCACCTCTTTTTCAAATAAGGTGATCCTATCTTTGAGAGCTTTAATCTCATTCTCGTATGCCTCACACTTGTGAGCCAATTCCTGCTTTAATTTCTTCAGCTTTTCATATTTTGATTTGTACATGTCAGTAGCTGAAGTAGGCGTCGCCGCTGCTGTTGTGGTTGCAGCTGCTACTGTAGCCGCTGAAGTTGCTGTCTGAATTATTTTTGAAAATCACTTTCATTTTAATACGAAATACCAAAAAAAATTATTTGTAAAACCATTATGAAAATTATCATATGGTAAAATATATATATATATGTACACATATTTATGTGTACACACACACACACACATACAAACACATACACACAAACAAAACCACACACAAACACATATATAGATTAAAAATTGCACATTAAACCAAATTAATAAAATAAAGTTAACGTTAGCATTGGTGGGGTTTAAAGTTAGCATCAGTTCATTGACTTTAGCATCGCTCTCTTTACTTTTTATAGTTTGACGTCTTAACTCTTCTCTGGGAGTGGAAAAAAAAGTGTAACAATAATTATTTTTCAAAATAATAAATATGAAAATTATATATTATTATTATTACAATAAATATAATTTTAATATTTATAAAGTAGAAACATAATAAAAATAGATGACACTCACCTAAGTTTATTATTAGTTGTGATCATATCTTGAACGAGGTCCTGTCGTCTGTTACTATCCTTCATGAGAACTTGGATAGCTTTCCTAACGTTTTGTAATGTCTCTAGTGTAATCAGTATGTGATCTAAAAGTTTTGGTTGGTTAGGGTTTAAAAAGGTGGGTTATTAAAGTTGTGTGTGTGTGAGAGAGAGAGAGAGAGAGAGAAAGAGAGATACAGAAATAAAGAAAAAGAGGAGAGAGTAGGTGAATTATTATAGTTGTGTGTGTGTAAGCACCTTTGTACTTGTTAGTTTCATCATGTTCATGTGCATGGTTATTCTGCTGGTACAGAAAAGATATAGGGATCAACCCATGCTCCCTCAATGAAATGTTTAGTTTCACCCACTCAGTTGTCTCTTCCTGATTTAGCACCCCGTAATAGAAAAATTGAGAAATACATTATATGAATATACAATATAGAATATATAAAATGAAAAAAATAAATCAAATAAATTCAACTATTTATTAAATAATTAAACTATTAAAATTAATAATATAATAATTCTTAATCATATTATTTAAAGTGATGTTTTTATTATTTTCATTTTTAAATGACAAATTTAAAGAAATTATCAAATTTATCAAATAAGAAGTTTATTTAAAAAAATTTTAAATAATTAATTAATTAATTAATTAATATGAATTTTTAACATGTAACAGCGCATTTCGATTCCCTCCGCAAAAATCACTTTCCTTGCTGTCAAACATGGCAATCTTCGCAGCAAACATTCCAATTTATGTAAATTAATTTTTTTTTAATTTGCGAACGGCAAAAATGGAATATTTAATGAAAAAATTATTTCTAATTTTATTTCAAGTTTGAACTGGTAAACAAAAAGAAATTAAATAACCTAGCGCAAAACAATTGGCAGGTTATCTCAAACCTTTAAAGCATTGATAGCTGATAAAGATTTCCAATCTAATTTAATGGTTTTAAAATTTGAACAACTGTTCATAATTCTAATAAAAATTAAGATTTTCAATTCTTTTAAACAAGAACGGCAAATGTTTCACTCAAATTCTTAAAAAAGTGAAACAATTTGTTCGATAGTCAGACCCTTGCTTCGAGATATAGCAATTTAACTTCATTTTCATTTAATATTTCTTACCATGCGCTCTCTACATTACAAGTTTTATATAATTGTGCATAATTGTAATTTTATAATTCTAGAATTTTTTACAAGATAATTGTGGATTATTTAAAAATTGGTTCCATTTGTTATTTTAAAGAAAGTTAGTATGATTCAAGCAAGCAGATGTGGATAATTTTAACACAAACATGTTCAATTTTATTAAAAAAAAAACGAACAAATTAATCAAATCTAACTTATAAAAAAAAACAGATGGACCAAAAACGTTTTATATCAGTAAAATTGTATGCTGCAGAGATGTCGGTATCGCCTATCGAAAACTTCGTGCTGAGGAATTAAACGCTGCCAAACCGGTCGTTAACAAGCAACATGGTTTATGACAGTGCCACTTTTGTAAGAAAGGAAAGTTTTCTTCATCACACGAGGTCTGGAATCATTTTGGACATGGTTGTCCAGGCAAAGCAGTTGTAAAAATTGAACTTGATAACGGTGTCAGCGGCTTCATACCAATCAGATTGATTAGTGATCAATACGTCTCAGACCCTAGCGATCGAGTTAAAGTGAACACCATGATAAATTGTAGAATTTCAAAAATCGTTGTGCAAAGGTTCCAGTTGGAACTTACCAGCAGATCGTCTGATTTAACAGACCTGGCTAAGTTAGGCTCACAAATGGAGATTACCTATGTTGCAGTTGCGTTTGATGTATGAGAACACCAAACCAAGAAAAGCAGTAAGCGGGAGAAGAAAAGAATAGTATTCGTTTGGATAGGCTGGACACGTGTTTCGTCCCTACCGGGGACTCATCAGCAGCCGGAATACCTATCAGAATAGTAATCGCAGTTTCTTATAAAGCCCGCACAAATCACCTCTTTAATTCGTGGTGTTTTATTAATTAATCTTTTAGTCGCTATGATTTTCATTCCGACACCTTACTATTTGTTTTACGACCAAGTAGCAGAAAAGGATGACCAAAAAAATCGACGAAAAAAGAAAAAACGCGATTAAAGCTAAAACTAACTACGTTAACAGAATTATTTCTCACCCCTCCTATTGCAACGTTGATTACCATAACTACGAAAAGCTAATGGAAAACTTTGAACGAGGAGATGTTATAATCAGGCCAGGCAGCAAAGGCAACGATCACCTAACAGTTACTTGGAAGGTCTCAAACGGAGTTTTCCGGCACATTGATGTAAAAGAGGAAGGAAAAGCCAATGTGGTAAGTCTCTGAAAACGACTTTGGATCGAATCGGAATGTTTCGATAAGCTCAACGAGATCATCACCAGACACGTGACACCAATGGCAGGCTTCGTACGAGATGTCATTAGTTATAACAAATCAACCACACGTGACACGAACAGTTTTATGAGTTAAGTTAACCAAATGTTAAACAAAACAAAACAACGACTCTTTCTTCATTCAAATTTGACGCAAAAAAATAATATATTAAAAAATTAAAAGTACGTAAAGAAAGATTATTATCTATAATAGTGTAGATAAGCATTTGTTTGTTCAAATATTCACAAACATGCACACACAAAGAGACACAGGCACAAACATACATACACTCGTATCACAATCACGCACATTGTTAATAAAAACCAAACAATTGACCTATCCATTAATGCTAACATTCAAAAGTCAGAGAACAACGGAAGTGCGTTAATATGGGTCAGGTTTCTCAAATTTTATTCATTTATTATTCATTCTTTTATCACTAATTCCTTATGTCATTTACCCATCTATCATGATATCTATCCAAATATCCATTTATTATCTATCCATTTAAAATCATCTATCCAATTATCCACAAATCCAATTATTATCTATCCACTTAACCGTCATTTATCCATCCATTAATTCGTTAGTTTATTCATTTTTAATTCTTTCTTCTTCTCGATCATTCGTTCGCTCATTTATTTATTTAAACGTAATGACGATGACAATGGCGTCAGCGGTTTTGCAGTCATCGTGTTATTAAAAGAGAAACTTTAATAGCGGAAATAAAGTTAATAATATCAATAATTATAAGCGTTATTATTGTTGTAGTTATTATTATTATTATTACATTTATTATCATTTTATCAACAATAAAAACAAGAAAAATGAAACAATATTAATTTTATTTTCAAAAATATTATAACACACCCACACCTTATAGCCGCATGAAAGTGGGAAAAAATTAATTATATAAAAAAGTTTTTAAACTAAAATACTTTATTTTTTGGCTCTTATCCATATAAAATCAAGCACACACACACAAATACACACGCACACAAACACACACAGGCATGCACAGATCATAAACAAACATATAATACAAACACCCACACACAAACACGCACATATGTATACATTCACGCATATGAAACAAATAACTACACACACAAACAAACAAACACACTTATATTCGCACAATACCCGCACAAACGCATACAGACACACACACACACATACGCAGGCACGCACATACACTGCAACTAATCAAATACTTAATTCAAAGGTAGTTTGAACGAAAATTCATCAATAGTGCATGTTGGTAAGCTTCATCGTATCGTATATTAGGTTACGAGACTCACCGACATAAAGATATAATGTTACACTATATTACTACTATTATTAGTTATTCTCTCTCTCTCTTTTTCTTTCTTTCTCTCTTTCTTTCTCTCTTTTTTCTCTCACTCTCTCTTCTCTCTCTCTCTCTCTCTCTCTCTCTCTCTCTCTCTCTCTTTGTCTCCTTTTTCTTCCTACAACTCTTGAAAGCAGGTGGAAAAACACACATGATGGTTTATTTTTTATCATAATGTAAGAATATTCGAATTTTATAACCGGCGCTATATAAATAAACAAATATACATATGTGTACGAAAGAGTTTGTGTGTTTCTTTGTGTATGTTTGTATGTGCGCGTGTGCGCGCGTGTGTGCGTGTGTGCGTGTAGCGCAAATAATAAATAACGGCCAACCAATTAACTTCTCAATGGCAAATTTCAATGAAGCCTTCATCCATTCAGCCATTCAGAGGTTAGCTTTGTTTAAATTTTAAATTTCAATGTAAATATCAAAGCTACACAATAACAACACATACACACACACGCATAAACACACAAACACATGCACACATAACATGTACACACACGTTTAAATAACACTTCATCAGTTGCATATATAACATTACACATTTGAATATAACACACAATATATAACATTACGTTAGGTTATATAACGGATTTCAATGAACAGCTTATTGAGTTAAACACACTCGCAGGCACACACATACACACACACAACACACATACATAAACGCACGACACACAAAAAACATAAAAACACACACACACAGAGAACATACACCCTCACACGCACAACCAGAATTACCTATCCATCGACAGGACAAGCTTTTACAATGTTCAAATAATGTAATACGATTAAATAATTAATACACATGCTTACACACACGCACACACATGTTTTTTTATCAATTTTTTGTAATAATAAAAAAAACATAATTGATTTTTTTTCGAAATGTGATAACTTGTTGTATGTTTGTGGTATCTAACAGTTTTATCTACATACGACGCTCAGGTTTCATAGTATATTTGATTTTTATATTGGTTGATTGATTGAATACAAAGTTGGATTGATTGTCAAAAAATTGAATTATTCAATCCTTAGACCAATTCAATCCCAAAACAACAAATAGCCAACGAACCAGCTGTCTGGGCAGTCAACCAACAAAATCGTCCAACTAAACAACTGACAAACTAACCAACCAACCAACCAACTGACCAACCAGCCAACAAATCAATCAATCAACCAACCAACCAACCGACCAAAATATCACTTCGGGCGTTATATATATTTATTCATGAGCATACCTACATACATCAATTAACATAAATACTTATTTGCATATTAATGATCTATTATTGACCTAGTTGTTGATAGTTAAAGCTAACAATACAGGTGGTATATATATTATATATATATATATATAAATTTATGTAAGTATGTAAGTAAGTATGTATGTATGTATGTATGTAAGTATGTATGTATGTATGTATGTATGTTTTATCAGAAGCAGTAGAAGTAGTAGTAGGAATAATTGTGATGGTTTGAAGAAAATTCAACGTGAATTATTTTATATTAGAAGAATATTTTTGAACAAAATCAATTATTCTCATTCTACGTTATGTTAGTTAGATGGATTGAGCTCCTTGAATTCATTTTAGACAGGTATATAATTAATTTTTAACAATTTTATTTTAAGTTAATATTTGATAAATATTTTATGTTTTTATTTATAAAATATTGTATAAGCAGTAGCAGTAGTAGTAGTAGTAGTAGTAGTAGTAGTAGTAGTAGTAGTAGTAGTAGCAGCAGTAGTAGTAGTAATAGTTTTCCTTGGTGGTAGTAGTATTAATAGTTTTAGTAGTGGTAGTAGTAGTAATGGTAGTAGTAGAAATAATAATTTTAATAATAATAATAAAAATATTATTATTTTTAATGACTACTATCATAATTTCATTCGATATTACATAGTTAGCTAGTTATCGAGGTACCAACTCATCATAATTTAATCGTCACCTTGGAAACTTTTTTGTCATCATCATCAACAACAACAACAACATCACCATCATTAACGCTATCGTCGTCATCAACACTATCATCATCATCATCATCATCATCAACA